TTTTTTTTTTTTTTTATTTTGTGTGTGTGTGTGTGTGTGTGTGTGTGTGTGTGTATGAGAGAGAGAGAGAGAGAGAGAGAGAGAGAGAGAGTAAACAACTGCTAAAACACCAACCTCTGCCCTACATTGAAAAGGAACCATTGCCTTGAGGCAACTATCAATCTGGCATACAAAGAAGGCTCTACGCCCCTACAAATTAATACAACAGTAACTGAAAAGAAACTATCATTATAACACTACCTGATTTATCTCATAATCTTCAGACACATATATACATATATGTATCACCTATAATTTTAAACACAAAACAGTCCGCAAAAACATCAAACATCAAAATAAAATAAAATATCAACCCACCAACCACCACCACCCGCCACTACCCCCCACCCGCCACTACCCACCACGCCATCCGCCACCCACCTGCCACCATCACCACCACCCATTCGCTACCATCCACCACCCGCCACCGTCACCCACCCACTCACCACCACCAGCTACCCACCACTCACCGTCACCACTTTTCACCATCGTCTTCCGCCGTCACTTGCCACCACTTGCCATTTCTCACTCTTTTTTATATTTTTAAATTTTTTTAAATATTTTGTCAATTACCAAACGCGTTTGTAGCTTATGTTTTTCTTAAAATAAACAAAAAATAAACAAAAATCAGTTTATAAAATTTTTGTAAATATAAACTGAAAACGTAAACGTTACCAAACACACTCAAGAGTTTTTGTGTTTATTGTCTATTTGCTGACTTAGACATCGGAGAGATTTCTGGCACACACCCGCCGGCTAGCTCACGTTTGTGTTTTCATGTAGTAAAGCAACGACGTTTGGAGGAGTGCAAATTTGATCAACAGAATTACATAAGAAGATTATTTTGTGCTTACACAGATTAGTAAATCAATTTCTTTATCAGATTAAATATGTGACAAATTAAAATTAACACCTAACATATCATATCATTGTGGATGAAATTATAATTTTTTTTTAATAGTCTTAAATATTATTATTATTATCATTATTATTATTATTATTATTATTATTATTATTATTACTTCGATTGATTTGATTGATTTGATGATCATTATTATTATTATTATTATTATTATTTTCATTTGTTTCTTTTGATTATAGAAAAATATTTTCACGCTCCCACAGATTTAAGGTAACGTCCCTCACAGAGATTATCAAAATGTCATGCTGTCCATTCCGATGTTGCTGTTCTAAACAAAAGACTCTAACTTGAGAATTTACATCATATCCACGCCAAGTGTTGTAATAACAACAATTGAAAACTTAACTTTCTAATCAAGTGAGTTACGTTCAAAAGATTGACCCAAAAAATTTCAAACTTAAAACATGCTGTTATTGCTAATCAGTAATTTATTAAATTATTTCTTATCATTTTATATGACTGCTGTGTGAAATTAATTAGTAAATAAATAACAATGACAAATAATATTTAGTTTTGCTTTCCAGCAATAACGATTCTGATCATTCAAGAGGATCACAATCCGATTGTATTGTAATGCAATATTGGGATCTGGATCCTCTTCATTATGGAAATAAGGATGTGTTTGATTGGGGGATAGGGGGATTATTTACTGTGTGAATTGTAATTCGGATGAAGTATCCAACCTGTTATTTGTTTTTTTTTTAGTTCACTGGACATGGAGTCCTGATGTGTTTGATTGGGGGATAGGGGAGGGATTATTTACTGTGTGGATTGTAATCCAGAGGAAACATCCAATCCGCCGTTTATTTTTTTTTTTAGTTCGTCGGACATAGAGTCCACCCGGACTCCTTATTTCCTATATGGGGGACTATTGTGTCCTAGGGGGGATGTGGGACAATTTTGGGAGAACAATCTAATGTTGGGATTAAGTGGTAAAATAACTATTTTGACCATTTACTATTTAATTATGTATTACATTTAGTAAAATTCAATAAAATTTAAATGTCTCAATTTAAAAATAAAATAATTTTATTTAACTTTTTATTGATGTTTTATTTATTTAATTTTTTTAAAATAATTTTTTATAGATATTTTTTTGATGTTTTATTTTAAAATTTTGTTTATTTTTTATTTAATTTCATTATTTAAATTGTAATAGATGTTTTATTTAATTTCATTGTTTAGTTATTATTATTTTTAAAAACAAATTTATTTAAAATTTTAATTAAAAAATAACATATATTTTTATTGATATTTTATTTATTTTATTTTTAAAAAATAAATTTATTTAATTGTGCAAAAAATAAAATAAAATAAATTTTTATTTAATCTAGATAAAAATAATTAAAATATTAAAGATATGTTTAATATTGCTATTATTTAATAAACGTAAAATAGTCTTTTGGTCATTTATCATATCCAGACTGTCCAACCAAACGTTAGATTCACTAACAATAATTATTTCCAGACATCTAATCCCATGAAAAAACAAACACTGGATACATATCCAATCCAACCAAATAGTCCGGGAGATTCACAGTCCCAGGACTCAAGTCCAATGGATTCTAATCCCCCTTTATCCATTCCGTCCAATCAAACACACCCTAAATCCTTTATAAATCTAAACCCTTGATTTAAATCTTATAACGGTGGTGCTATAAGTATAAATTGATATATTAATTAGTGTATTAATATATATTATGATATTATTATTGACCCCACCTATTAACAAATTATAAATATTCAAAATTTTAAAAATTATACCACATCATCGATTAGTACACTGAGGGATCTTTTTGAAAGAGGGTAAAAGTCAACTTTTAACTTTTTACCTATTTTAGATCACATCACTTCTCACATTTTTTACTCATAAAAAGACAAAATAAACTAAAAAAGCTAAAAAATCAACTTTTTATCAATTTTTCAAAACACTCCTAATTAATACATATAACATTATTCATCATATAACAAAACGAAAACCATTATATTTTTAAGTTATAACTAACCTTATTTTAATTATCTACTAATTAAGATCACTTTATTTCATAATTAAAAATATCAGTTTACTTTATGGTAATACATTCCTTTTTAACTTTGGTAGTAATGGAGATCTAATATATTTTTTTCTTATTAGTTAAGGTCCTTTAATAATATTGTCAAAGAAATTTTAGTTCGTAAATGTTAAGAGACACCAGCTATTATGAAACTGCTATATGTTCTTTATATTATAAAATCTTAATATCCGAGATCTTAAACTAAAAACCTCTATAATAAATACTTATGTGTCGTTTGGTAACACTTACGTTTTCAGTTTTCTGTTTATATTTACTGTAGTTTATGTTTTTCTAAAAATAAACAAAAACCAATTTATAAAATTTTTATAAATATAAACTGAAAACGTAAACGTTACCAAACACACTATTAGTTTATCTGAAAAAAAAAACCATATTATGTAACACTCCCTCTGTTCTAAATTAGTAGTCTCTTTGGAAAATTTAAGGCTTCGTTTGGTAAGCAATTCAAATTATAGTTTCACCCATTGATTTGAGTGTGTTATTTGTTTTCAGTTTTCAAATCATAATTCTACACCTATTTTTCAAAACTCAATTCAAAACATAATCATTACTTTTCAAAACTCATAACCAAATACATAATTCAAAACTCTTTTCAAAACTCAATTCAAATCAATATTTTAATTTTGTTAAATTTTAAATATTTAAATATTTAAATATGTTACGATTTTTTTTTATTTTTTTATTTTTTGAATATTTTTAAATATTTTAATTTCAAAATATTACGATTTTAATTTTTTAAATTTTAAAATATTTTATAAAAATAAATTCAAACTTTGTTTTATAAAAATATTTTAATTTTTTTGTTATGTATTTGGTTACGATTTGAGTGTAGAGTTGTAAAAGTAGTATGGAGTTTCAAGTTATGTGTTTGGTTATGAGTTTTAAAAATAATTTCTTAATTGAGTTTTGTTTTATGTGTTTGGTTATGATTTGAGTGTAAAATTGTTTTTAAATTTAAAATCTTGACATTTTAAATTATTTAAATTTTTTGAATATTTAAATTATTTAAATTTTTACGATTTAAATTTTTTGAATATTTATTTTGAAAAAAAAGTATTTCCTTTGTAGTAGTTTCAATTAAAAAATTGATTAATGTTATTTTCTGTTAATAATAAATTTTTTTAATTGAATTTTAAAAAGAGTTTGATTATGAGTGTTGATCAGAATTTTCAATAGTGTGAAAGTAGTGTGTTTTGTTATGAGTTATAACAATTTGAATTAAGTTTTGAAAACTCATTTCAAAATTCATAACCAAACAAATTTTCTTACTTCATATGTCAAATCAAACTTTCAAAACTTAATTCCACACTCAATTCAAAACTCAATTCAACACGCTATTCAAAAACCATAACCAAACAAATTTTCTATACTCAAATCATAATTCCATAACTCACAAACTCAAAATACAACTCATACTCTCAAATCATATTTAAAACTCTACCAAACGCAACCGAAACTTTTTAAGGAGACATAATTATTACATTTTAAATTCAAATTTTAAAAGGTAAAGCTTCAAAAAATACCCTTCTATTCTTATTTTTAAATATATTAATAATTACTATACAAGAATAATTTTAAAAACTTTGAAATTTAAAATTTTAATTTTTCAAAGTAAATATATATTTTAAAATAATAAAAAATAAAATAATAGACGAATAAAATGAGACAGAGGGAGTAATTAAAACTCACCCATTTTAACTTATCCTAAGTTATCACCAGCTTTAATTTATAGATAACAATCACATGGATCATATTAATATAACTTTTTAATAATGTTAAGGATATAAAATTTTTTACTAATTTTTTTTTAAAATATTTGAAAAATTATACATGAGTGTATGACACACACTCATATAAAAGTTTTGTAAAAATTTTAATAAAAAATTTAATCTCTAATCAGTGCATTTAGTTTCAATTTTCGGAAAATAAGTTTTTTATTTTTCGTATTTTTTTTATTTTAGTGAATATTTTTAAAAAGTTAAGTAATTTTTTTAATTTTTTGTATGCATCTTACTTAGATGTATCTAAATAGTAAAATATTTGTAAAAAAATATTTTTTAAAATTAATAAATACACAAAATATTAAAAATGTATTAAATTTTCATAATTTTTTTTATATTTTTAGTATTTTGTGAATTTTTTTAAAGATTTTTTTTACAAATATTATGTTTTTCAAGTATATTTATATTAGGTATGTTTAAAAATAAAAATAAAACTTGCTTAAAATTTTAAAAAAATTTAGTGAAAATAAAAATATATAAAAAAATAAAATTTTTTGAAAAATAAATTCTAAAAACTAAAAACAAAGCCTCCGTTTGGGAAATGGGTTGGTTTTTGATTTTTTGACTTTTTTTGGCTATTTTAACTTGGGCTAAAAAATTTAGTTTGGAAAATTTTTTTGATTTTTTGACTTTTTTTGTGAGATAAAAGTGTAATGATTATGAATTAAATATAATATTTTATTTGTTGGGATTAAATAACTTATTTTAATTTTTGTGATTAAAATAATTAAAAAAAAAAAAAGTCTAAAACCTTGTGCCAAAGTGGGTGAATAATTTTTATACTATTTTTTTTTGAAGTGTGAGCCTAGCCTTTTCCTCGAGTTGTTTGGCACCCACCAAGCAACGGTTGCCATGACGCATTTAATTAAAATAAGGAAATGTTTTGGGATTTTTTTTTTGAATGACCTCTATATTTTCAAAGTGGTTCTGATCTGTATATTTGTAGGGTTCATTTAAATATACGTAAGATTCACATTATAAATAATTTAAATTTATAAAAATCTTATACAAAATTTGTGAGGATGAGATTCTCAATCATCACTCATTAAAATATTAGTTTTTGTTGATAGTTTTTTAAACTTATTTTTATCATAAATTTTTAAAAAATGTAATATCAATTCAATTGATGTATTGCGAATTTTTTTATAGAATAAATTTATGATTTTTTTTAGTTTGTCTCATTTGATCATTGTCTTGTATAATCACGCACGCTTGTGGGCATACTCACAATGATAATGATATTGATATTGATATTACAATCACAAGACACGCCGAATGAAAACTGACCACTGTCTCGTCAAGTGTATTTTGTTTTTCATGTTATTGGATAATGTAACCGCCTTTGCTGTGCTTAAAAAAAAAAAAAACCGCCTTTGCGAGATTCCTTTTTGCTTCTATTTTTTCTTTAATTTTTTTAATAATTTCATAATGTAAGATTTCCTTCTATTTTTTTTTTTTTTTTTTTATGTATGATTCAAATCCAACTCACAAGTAATTAAGATCCAATAAATTGAGTGTATGCTATCACAACTTTAAAATTAATTTTGATGGAATAAAAAAAAAATTTAAAACAATGAACAAACAAACACATGGAAAAGAGTAAAATAATAAGAAGATTTCAATTCAGTTTAAAATTTTAAAAAAAAAATAAAATTAATAATAAACTTTTTATACATATACAATAACTTTTTCAAATTATATGGATATTTTTCCAAAAATAATTGGGCAGTTCCAACTTCCAACTTCCAACTATTAATCTCCTCCATTATTTTTCGAATTTTTAATGGCATGGACCATTATGTTTTTATAAAAAGTTTTTCGTGCACTTGAAGATCTTGTTTATACATTTATTAACCTATGAAGTTCGCAATGCATTCAAAGGATTACAATAGGAATAATGTTATATATATTATTTAGTGAAAAATTTCTATTTCAAAAAACTTATTTCACGCTCTTTTTTTCAATCGAGAGAAAAATAATTATAAACATAAAAATTATTTACATCATTAAATAAACCAATCTATTATAACTAACAAGATAATAAACTCTAATAATCAATAATCCAAATCCGCCCTCAATCTAACGCCCAACCACTAATCACATATAATTCTTATAGTGGGAGACAAATAACCGACCACAAACCCAACCAATATCAATAATCCAAGCCTAAGTCAGGAAAAAACAAACTACTGCTATAAAAGATATTAAATTTCTCTTCATAAGAGTTGGACTTACAATCTCATGCCACAAAAGATGTTACACAATAACTAAGCCGAATACCCTAGTTGATTTCACACTTTTTCACTTTAAAATAAAAAATAAAAAATAAATAAAGTATAAATTTTTTATTTTTTTTTTACAAAATTTCATATTCAATTGAGTTTTTATTTGATTCATCGGCTAGATTGCAAAAATATAAATTTCATACAAAAGGAATGTACAATGAAAAAAAAAATTATGGAATTTCATAGTTTAAAACACAAAATGCCAAAGACTAAGGGATTGTTTGACATGATCTAAATAAATACACTTTTGACATTTTACAAAAAGATATATAAAAAAGTAGAGAGATAATGTAACCTACAAATATAAAAATAAAATAAAAAATATGTACTATCGTAAGTCATGCCAAACAAGCTCTAAGTCTCAAAAAAAAAATGTATATATATAAAAATTAAGTGTTAATCAAATAGAATCACAAGGCCTTGTTTAGGAACAAGTTATTTTAATAATTTTTTGATTTTTTATGAAAAGAGGTGCAGAAAAGTAAAAAGGTGATGTGACTAATTTTAGTTGACTTTTTGACTTTTTTGCTAAGGGTAATGCTAGGGACACCAAATTTTCTACCAAACAAATAACCAAATGTCTCACATGGGTGTGGGGTCTGCAATTTTGTAGACCCCACACCCATGTGAAACATTTGATCATTTGTTTGGTAAAAAATTTAAGACTTCTAACATTTTTCTTTTGCTAAAATAATCACTCCCCAAATGAAAAAAACTTACCATTAATTTTATAGAACTTGTAATGAAAATGTTCGACTTATAAAATCTTAACAACAGTGCTAAGAGCATAAATATTAAATACAAAATGAGACACACATATTTAATAAAGAGTGTATCTCATTTTGTGTATAGTTCTATATGGACTTAGACTTGTCAAAAAAAATGTCAACCTCATCTACAAAAGCCCTAACATTCATTTCCACGGATCCACCTTCCGATGCAGCTTCCATTGCCAAATCCCTCCATTTCTTGGCATTTTTGTTCATTTCTTCACCTTTCTCTCCGCCACCCATAACCACTTCTATGCACCTCTTGATCTCATCACCTTCCACTATTCCATCTTCATTCACTGTTACCCTCACTCCAATCTTGAATACATCTTCTATAAGTTTTGCATTCGTTGGTTGATCTGATGACTGTGGGAAACATACCATCGGAACACCAAATACCAAACATTCCAATGAAGAATTCCACCCACAATGTGAAACGAAGCACCCTAAAGATGGGTGTGAAAGGACCTCCACTTGACCACACCACGGCACTATCATCCCTAGTTGTTCAAGTTCTTCTCTACGGCTTAGCTCATCTTCTTCGTTCTCGCCATTTTCTGTAGCCCTTATGACCCACAAGAATGGTCGATGGCTTTCCAACAACCCGCGTGCTATCTCCTCCACTTGTCGCTTTGATAATGTTGCTAAGCTTCCAAATGATACATAAACAACGGATGATTTTGGCTTCAAATCCAACCACTCAACGTAATCCTTTGATTTTTGGAATAGGTCAGCCGCAAAAGAAGTATCGGATCGATATTTCCCATCCAAGAATGCCGATGGGACTAATGGACCTATTGCAATGAAGTTGAGCTTCTCATCAATGGCTCTTAAGGCCTCCGGTTCCAAAGCATCGAATGTGTTTACCAGTATTCTAGGGTTTTCTTCTTCGTTAAGCGTATTTAGCTGTTCTTTAAATCTGTGCAGTAAAAATTTAAATGATTTTGTGTCTGAGTCAGGGTTTGAAGCATCAAGAAAAGAGGGAAGGTCACGTTTGGAGAGCTGTGGGAGTACCGGTAATTCAACAAAGAAGGAAGGATCATTGGAAATACTTGTAATGGTATCACCATAACCATTGAAGTAATAAAAGAAGATATGAAAAATAGTGGCTGGTTGAGTCCAAAGAAGTGTGGATGGGATGTGAAAGGATTGAGCCACTTTGGCTACCCATGTTTGAAGCATAGTGTAGACCAAACCTGTGACAGGGTTGCCTTCCTCGGCGCTGGCAGTGATGAGTTGGGCTAATTTTTGAGACCCGCGATTCTTGAGCTCAGACAGAAGGTGTTCATAGTCATCACCAACTTTGAACCCATCATCGTAGCCATCGGAGAAGGAAGCAAAGGTTAAGCCTTGTGGGAATGTGGTGGTTTTGGGCATGCGACGATGGGCGGAGACACAGGTGACTAGGGTGACCTTGACACCCATTCTTATGAGCTGTTTGGCTAGTTGGAGTGAAGGATTGATAGCCCCTTGGACTGGATAAGTAAAGAGAAGGATGTGCTTGTGCACCATATTTGCTTACCTACAAACAGGTATATGAAATTGACTCTGGATGTGAAGATATGGATGTGAAGATATGGTTAGGATTTAAATGGTAAGGCGTGAGTGATCAAATTTAAATTACATATTAATATTTTTAAATAAATTTTAAATTTGTAATATTATATGTATATACAAAGGGGGTGTTTGTTTCAGCTTTTCAGAGTCAATTTATGACTTTTAGCTTTGAAAAAGTTATTTTGGAATGTTTGGTTAAATTTATTTCAAACGGCTTCTTATTCTAACAGCTTATTTTAACTTAAAAAAGCTGATTCTGAGAAGCTTCTCACCCCTTGCTTCTGATTATCAGCTTCTGCTGTGGACATGTTAATTTATGGTTATACTCTTAAATTTTTTTATTTTTTATTTTTTTAAAAATAGAAAAAGACTCAAATGGACTATAGATTATTATTATTATTTTTTATGAGAAATGTAGACAAACAAAAAATAAAAATTAATTGAAAAAGCTATTTCACAGCTTATTTAACAAACACTACTCAGCAACTTAAATCTATAATCCAACAGCTACACCAAACAGATTAACAACTTTTGATTAAAGTCATAATCTATAATCTGTTAAGTTATAATGTATAAGCTGTTTTAACAGTTACACCAAACGGAACCAAAGAATTTTATGTAAGTTAGACCTGAGTTGAATTATTTGTGTGGTAGGCCCTTATAGTACGGCATGTGCCTTGTACGTAAATAGATATTAATATGAACTTTAATAAAATCTCCTCTTTTTTTTTGTTTTTTATTATTGTCTGTTCTAGACATTCGATTTTTTTTTAGGAAAATGTTTGGTGGTCTAAATTTTTGTAGCATGAATGGTTCGAATGTGTCAAAACGAGATCGTTTTGAGTGTTTCGAGCCATTCGAACCATGATTTTTCAGACCACCAATCATTGTTATTTTTTTTTATACTTTTATTATATTTTAATGGATCTAGTCACTACTCAATATTCTAAACAATTTTATTATTAGTAATAATAGAAAGTTTATTTAAAAATATTAATATGTGTTTCAAATTCATTCTATCTATATATTTTATAACGGAAAAAGTTAGGGATCATGAATATTTTTTCATGAAAATGATCATGAAAAATTTATGATCATTGAATTACCTTAATTAGTGTGTAGTGCTTTATTCTAAGTGATATTCAAAGGTTACAAAGTTTTCATGATTATTTTCATGAAAGATTTTCATGATACCTAATATTACTGTTTTATAACACACGCTTTTAATTTTCACTATTCACTATAATTCTGGACACAAATCTGGACCCTAAACTTTCTGTTTTATTATATTATCTACACGGTGCTACTGCCAAGTAGTAAAAAAAATTATTGAGTTTTGTAAAGTAATTTAAAGATAACAGATGATTGGCTTAGGGTCTCATTTGGTAAGAAGTTAAAATTTAATTTTTTGGTTTTTAATCCGAGTCACATTATTTTTCTATTTTTTTTTATATATTTTTTTTAAAAAAAAGTCAAAAGTTAATTTTTAACTTACTCCACAAAACAACCCATTATGTTTTGTGATTTTTTATTTGTCAAACAACACCACATATTACATAAATTATATCACATAATATTTCAATAATATCTAATAATTTTTTCTCCAAAGTTTGCTTATAATCAAGATGATTATCAAAAAAGAAAATTTCTATCTTTATAAGTTTTGTTACCGTTTTATATCCCACTTATATGAATATTTATAATTAATTTATTATTTAGAATTAATTATTAAAAATAATAATAAAGACAAATAATATTTTATTGTGCATCTCAGCAATAACAACGGAAGATCTCGATCATCCAATGGTTGTCATGAAATAATGTAAGTTTCAAATTTTTTAGTTTGGTAATTTTAAAGCTACTTTGATTGGGAGAAGACAAATTTTTATTTATAATTAATTCTTGTTTTTGTATTATTCAGATTTGAATAAACAAATTAAGTATATCAAATTTGGATTTGATCAAAGTTATAGTTGTTGGAAAGCTCTCTATTGAATTTTTGTGTTGTATTATTGGGATTTGACTATACAAATTAAAGTTACACGTATCAATCGGATTAGCTCGTTGAGCCAAACCCATCACTTAAAATAATAAAAAAAAAACATTATTATATTTAATTGTCAAGTACAATAAAATTGAGTGATGAAATTAATCAGTTGTGATCTCTAATTTTGGGCGGTGATTGAGGGCCCGAAAGCCGTGCCCCGAATTGCCCGAAATTTCCATTTCAGGTAAAAAAAAAAAAAAAAAAAGGAAAAAAGAAAGAAAAAAAGAGAACAGTTTCCAAAACTGGAAATTAGGGATATTAGGGCCAATTTTTTTAGGGCCACCAATCATTTTCCTAATAATAATAGGTGCAGATTCTCTTCGTTATGTTACAGATCCTCACGGATCATCCAATGGTTGTAATGTAATAATGGTAGTAACAGTAGGGCTGGACTTTTCCGGTGTCTAGATCTGGTTGGATGCTATTTTGTCCAAACTCGTGGAGTTTACAAATAATCTACGGATCATTCAATAATGGTAGTAACAGTTGGGTTGGACTTTTCCTCCGTCTAGATCTGGTTGGATGATATTGTCGGAACAAGTGGAGTTTATTTTAAGAATAATGCTTGGGACTCTCTTTTGGGGATCACCTCCTCACCCCTCCTTTATTACGTGGCGGGTGGTGATTGGAGGAGTATGAAAAAAAAGAAAAAGAAAAAGAAAAGGTAACCAATGAGAGAGAGAGAGGGGGTCAAAGGGGATGAATCATTGTTGTTATTTTAACTCATGGTTTGAATAATTTATTTTATAGAATTTTTTATATATATATATATATTATTTATAAAAATTTATATTCATTTTATAATCATAATTTATTTAATTTGTCATATTTATTACCAAAAAATAGATAGTCTATTTTAAAAAATATACTTGTCATAAAAAAAATTTTAAAAAAAAAATTTGAGACAAAGACGATAAATTAAACATATTATAATTATCAAATTGACTTAGTTTTTCTCAAAGATGACACACATGAAACGCCTTATAAAATGAACAATTTAAATTATTGAAATACGACCCATGATAGCCCTTATGAGCCCGAACAACGTCTTCTAATCCAGATTTTGGACTATAGACAATTTGTTCGGGATACAGATCATCTTCCTTTGGCCATGTTTGGTGGCACTTATTTTAAGTCAATTTATTTTGTTTATTTGCTTAAAAAAATTTAATTAATGTGTTTAGTTGTAATTTTAAGTACTCATTTGACCTAAAAAAATGAGGTTTTCTTAAGTTATATCGTCTTGTTTGGTTCTAATTTTTTAACACAAATTTTTTGAAAATTAAGTTTTTTATTTTTTTATTTTTTTAATATTTTATTTTTTTTACTTTTTAGATACACCTAACCTAGATGCACTTAAAAAATAAAATATTTGTACAAAAATGTTTTTAAAAAATTAATAAATGTACAAGAGCATGAAAATGTATTGAATTTTTATATTTTTTTTTGTATTTTTGGAATTTAGTTAATTGTTTTTTTAAAAAATACAGATATTATTCTTTTTAAGTGTATTTATATTAGATGCATCTAAAAATTTTAAAAAAAAATTAAAATGTTAAAAAAATTCATTGATAACAAAAAAATACGAAAAATTAAATGAAAAATTTAGCCAGAGCCTTCCCCATTGGACCATTGTTTGGTAAAAAGTACGACCTAATTTATTTTGTTTCATAAACCCCTAAGGAGAAAACACATAATGAAATAAGGACAAATAAAATATCTTCTTTTTTTTTAGACAATATTACCAAATTAACATGTTACTATCAAACAGAGTAGCTGTCAAACAGAATAACATGTTACTGTGAGAGAAAGTAATATATTACTGTTACTGTTTACATCAATATTGATGGTAATAATTTTTTTTAAAAAAAAAATTCATAGACAATATGAATCTTATTTGATAGATCTGTGATGCCTCAAATTTTATTTTGGAACATCATAAAATTTAAATAACAAATAACTTACTAAATAAAAATTTTAACAACTAATTAGGGAAATTTAGATTTTCACATAGTCAAAGCTTAACAACTAAATTACGAGTCCACATACAATATTACAACAACTTTATAACATTCGTGATTACTAATACCAAGGATAATAAAATTTTATTTCGATAGAGTCTTGACTTTAAGTTAGCCAAGGTTCAATATTAGCAGCAGTTCCAAATTCAGCCTCGATCCCTTCTTCGACATAATCTGGCATGAAACGTCAGGGTAACAAAAATATATGCCATGAGTTTTGCAACACAGTAAGAAAACGTAACCAACTTACCATTCTTTTTAAGAGAAAATAATCAAATTATGACAATTAAAATAATAGTAAAATTCAATAGCATGATAAATGTAACAACCATTATAATAATTTCGACAATTTTAATAGTTTAGATGATACTCAAAATCTCACCAAACAGATTTTTTTACTAACCATTAAACCATGGTCATGGTTAATTTGGAAACCCTCCTCCTCCCCGGCTCAAATATTAAAGAATTACTAAAGATGCCCACACCCGGAGTTATATATCCAAACTGTGGCATCCATGATCTGTCCCAAGGGAACGGTTTGTCAGGTGTATGTAACCTCCATGCATGCCACCCACACATCCACCCTTATTCCAAAACCAAATACCGATAACGGTTCAAATAAGTCACGTGTCATCTTAGGGTTTCGCGATACAATTCACATAAAAATTATTAAAAATCAGGGCTCACCCTGAACAACCAGTATTAACCCTCAATTGTTAACTTTTTATAAGTTGTTAATCGTTTCAGTTAGTTTTTATATTAATCACAAATAATTCCAATTTTATTTATCAATAATGTTGTACCAACTCATTAAAATTTCCAACATAAAATGTTACACATGTCACACCAAAAATAAATTAATGTACAAAATTTAAATAAACAATTAATTTAAACTATGGTATTGAATAATAATGTAGATACTAAAAAGAAATAAATCATAATCACACACATATATAGATTTTTAATCTACAAAATTAGACTAGCACAATATTAAATTTTAGTCATTTTATCATATGAATATAATCTGAAAATTACAATAATTAAAAAAATAATAATAATGAG